ACAAAACACTCGCTACAAAGCACTCATGGTCTCTTGCACGCTAAGGGTTGCGCATAAGATACATTTAGTGCATCCATTTAAATGAGCAATTGAGACTCACATCAAGAACATTTTTCACTGCACTTCGTCAACAGAAGTTCACAATGAGACATGCCAGCCTTGTTTACATACCCCTGTTTTGATAGCAAATGATAAGAATCATTTTTATTGCAAAGTGCTGCAAATCAATAAATCGATAGAAGGACCCAACGAATCGCTGCAAAAAGTAGCCTATCATCTGCGCAAGGCTCGAAAACATATGTGTGTAAAGTTTCAGCTTGATCGGTTGAGCGGCGCGCGTTTCTATAACGCACATACCCTCCAAACTGACAATTTTTGAGTTTTATATATATATAGATTATGATTCCTCTAAAATTGAAAAATTATTCCTTATTCTTAAATTTTTTGAATTCCCTTGACACTGCTAAAAATGAGTAACAAATTCATTTAGCTAAAGTGCGGTTCATAATCATACGAACACCCCACATTTTAAAAGTTTCTGGACTTTTTGGAAGAAACTCAAAAAGCCGTCAGTACCACGCGAAAGAGCACACCCGAAAATGGTATATGATCCATAAGAATGGAAATTGATGTCAATCTTAGGAGTGTTTTTGCGCCTAATGCGAATTTTTAGCGGTTCATAATTATACGAACACCTCAAACGAAGGTCAATGTCATACAAGATTGCAATCATTTAAGTCCAAATTTTTTTTTGTAGAATTACAGTAACAAAGTCTGAAGTATCTGCTACACAATGAACCCACTGCATTCCAAAAAGTGGAGCGTTAATTTTTTTCCAGTTGGCTCCAAATGCTTTTGGAGTCATTGCGCTCCAAAAACGTCTGTTCTTCTGTGGTTTACGCACGCTAATCAGCTTCTACTAAGACTATGAGATAAAATAAGTTCTTTCGATAGATAGTTTGTTTGACGCTTGGAAAATCTTTGTGTTTTGGTGCCGTTTTTAAGCCAAATTCCAACCTTACCCTAGAATTAGCACATTTCGAACCTCAAAACTCAGCTTCTCTTTCGCGTAAACACTTGATACGAAGCAGCTACATTATTTGCATGATGATGTATCCGTGCTAAATTTTTTGGGTTTTTTGTAGAACTGATGTTGAAGCTGTGGAGCTACAAACTAAATAAAGGTGTGATTGCAATAGTAAAAACAGTGTTTTTCGTGAAATGACGTCTGCATGGCCAAAACAAACGTTAAGCGCTGCTGATTTTTTCTAGCCAAATATACAGTCTTGTGGACTTCTACATACTATATGCTTACTTCATTGTACGGCTTCAAAAGCTGAGTTTTGAGGCTCGAAATAGTGCTAACTCTGTGGTATGGTTGGAACTGGTTGAAAAACGGCACGGAAACGCAAAGAATTTTTTAAGCGGCAGACAAAATACCCATTGAAAGAACATATTTCATCTCATAGCTTTGGTAGAAGCTAATTAGAGGGCGTAAACCGCAGAAGAGCGGATGTTTTTGGAGCGCAATGACTCCAAAAGCATTTGAAGCCATCTGAAAAAAGTAACGCTCCTCTTTTTAAATTGCAGTGGGTTCAGTGTGTAGCAGATACTTCAGACTTTGTTACTGTAACTTTACAAAAAATTTGGACTCAAATGATTGCAATCTTGTATGAGAAATGGACCTTAGTTTAAGGTGTTCGTATAATTATGAACCGCTAAAAAGTCGCATTAGGCGCAAAAACACTCCTAAGATTGACATCAATTTCTATTCTTAGGGACCATATACCGTTTTCGGCTGTGTTCTTTCGCGTGGTGCTAATGGCTTTCTAGGTTTCTCTCAGAAAGTCCAAAAGTTTACAAAATTTTGGGTGTTCGTACATCTATAAACCGCACTATATGATCATGGTTCAAAAAATCAGGAAGAGAAAATTCTGTGGTAGGTTGTTCTGCAACGACATTGTTTTTATCCGATAAGTCGACTTATTTTTAAAGGGAGGGTACACCCAAAATTTCGCCTTCGATGTTTGTGTCCTTTCGGGGCCTTTCCGTTACCCCGATTGCAATTATGATACTAGAAATCTTCAAAACCTTCAAATTACCCAGATTCCCGAGGACCCTCTCTTCAACAACTGCAACTGCAGCTTACGCTGTCGTGGATTCGTCCGAAGGAGGCGGACCGAAAAGAGAATCAGGCGAGTTTTCCCCGCTTAGAAACAACGTTGAGAGACCGGAGCGAACGCAGTTGGTAATCTTTCGGGACCTAGATATACAGTATAGAGAACTGGATAACTTAGATTTTATGTGTACGCTGCCTTTAAGCGAAATTTCCAGAGTTTTTTTCTCGAAGCAGAACATCCAGCATATATGACATTCTTAAATTATATGAAATGGAGTTTTTACTTCAAGCGTTTGAAAATTTCAGCAAAAGTCTTAAGACAAAAATGGATCGAAGTATAGACAGAGAACACTTAAATCAGAGAGGAGCGGTGTGAACTATTTGAAAATGAAAAAGGTATTGAAAGGTGGATTTCAAAATTTTTAGACTTATTGTAATCTGCTGTGTATTCCTGAATGATTCCTTATTACTACTCTAATTAACCAGAAGGCGGGACGTTCTGCGCACCGCTTACGGTAGCCAGCTGGCGGCTGGCATATGTTATCGTTCATAAAGTCACTCACCCATAAACATTTTCAACTTATCCTCGACATACTTACAGTGCACCTCGAAACTTTAGCTTCTGCACTCAGCAACGTAGATTACGTTTTCTTTCACCAAAATAACTAGTATTCGCTTTTCGTGATACTTTTTTGAAAAATTAAAAAACACATTTTATAACGCTTTAGAAAGATAACACAACACAAATTCAACTATGCGGTATTATTAACCAATACACCTTTGGCAGTAATTTTGGTCTGGGCTGCGACTTTAAAGAGGGCAAAATTACCAAAAACATCGTTAGATGTTTGAGTTCGAGCATATTTTGTATTCAATGGTGATTGTGCCTGTTCTTAGATTTTAGTCAGAAATTTGGTATCTGGTTCAAAGCACATCGCGGCAAACTTGTATCGGGCAGGTTTGACCCGATAAAACTTTGTTTTTTTTTGACAATATTTTTGCTGAGAAAAATCAACGGAGTACAAAAATACAATTTTTTGCGCCAAGAATTTTGATTCTCTACGTTGTCAAGAAAAAAGAAAAGCATACAATGTGACGTGTTTGGCGCCTGGTATAGTGCTTTAGCACTCATAGTGTTATTCAATTAAAGAGATCGAACCAGTGCATGTTAGTGATTTTTTTCCTTTTCAGTTCTTTTTTAGGTAAACATTGCTGATGGCTCCATGACCGCATTCCACCAGTCTCCCAAAGAACAATAAGCGATGAATTCTACTGGGCAGTCAAGAGTTTGCCTGCATCAAACCTACTTGATGTTCACTAGATCAGAAAATCAAATGAACCGGCTTGAAATTTTAGGAAACCCCGATATCGAACAATATTAAGGGGAGCCATAAAGTAGGTACGAAGCCAACAGCTTACTTCTACATTTGCTAAATGTTAGGCAACTTACCTTGATTGACTAGGTTTAACCTAGAAACGAGCTCAAAACGGTTCCTTTCTGGCACTGCGCTGAGAGCAACTGGCGAACTAAGGCCCGCATGCATTAACATTCCTAAGGGGGGAGGGAATCGCAGCTTAAAAGAAAGCCTCATATCTCAAAGCTCCGTGTATCTGAATTTCACACTATCTACCTAATCGTGTATTTTTACTATCCTTTACTATAAACTATCGAACAGGAGCGAGAATTTTTACGAGCCACATTTCCCAGTTTATTGGCTGATCCTCTGACGAACCCCGGCGGCCGATCGCCTTTTCTTTGAAGTCATTTTTCTTTCTCCGCAGTTAATGTAACATTCCAAAGTTGTACCGTTCATCTAACCCAGCATTGCGAATGTTGCTGATAAAAATAGATGATGTTCTGGAGTCATGAAATTTGTCATGAACCACTAGTCAAAAGTTGGGGTTTATCAAAAAATTAGATAGTTTAAAAACTCATTTGTTTTCACCAGCGATGCTTAGCACTGTTGATCAGAAAGTGAGTGCAACTTCGAGATTTTTGCATAAAGTGCAAAGCAAGCAGGAGGGAGGAAAACAACTTTTTTTGAAATGATACATTACGCGCGGAAGCTCATGTTTAGTATGGGTCGTTCGTGATGTTGCGAGCCGAAGTGGTAAGCAAAGCACGCTGTCCTCGATAACTCCCCCTCGCAAAGTTAAGCGCAGCTGGCACCAGATCCATAAGGGCAAGCAGCTCGTCGTCACCGGCGTCTGCGATTGTGCTTGTAGTTGAGGGTGGACAGTTTAGGATTGTTTGGATTAAGATGCATGTACATGTAAGGTAAATGGAATTAAAAGCAGTGTTAATGAAATCGCATGTGGAAACAGAATTTGTGGTTATAGCTGAGACACTAACCAAGTGGCAGCGACGATGGTACACCCGCTGACAACTATAAACTAGAGTATTGAAAAGACGTCTTCTCTCGGTTTGCATGCTTTGTGGCCCAGGGAAAATTCTGCGAGCCGATGCAAATCATCCCCCGCACGCACGTGTGGAGGCGGGTGCATAGACACTGCCATTGATACCGGAGACGGACAGGAGTTGCCTTATTTCTAGTGGAACCTGACGATTAAGCATTCGAATCTCATGGCAAACCGTCGAGGCCGTATTTGAGGCGGTTATTCTTGGCGGGTAGGAACTAAACAAGCCGTCTTGTTATTCTTCCGCAAATGGTTCAATTGCTTTCTTTCGTAATGTTATATGTTTTATAGCTCTGTATGAATGAAAGCCATTTTGTTGGAAAATCGATGGCATTTAGCGTAATGTTGGAAAACAGCTGTAGAACATCGGGAAACTGTTTGCCACCAGTGAACGCGCAGCATGAAGTTTAAGGAATGTGCATGTGTTATGTTTGTCAAGCATGTGTAATTGCAAAAAAAATCTGTTCTTTACTTATTGATGAAAAGACGCCAAAATGAGCATTTGAAACCAATGACAACTTGATAAAGAGATAGTGCACCCATAATCAACTATGGCAGGGAAGATAATGAAATAAGCAACTGGGAAGACAATAGAATATGCACAACAAATACTATTCAATGTGAAAATTATTATTGCATTATGCAACAAACATCCTGAAATAAAGTGTTGTAAACGCAAGTCTCAAAAATGAAATTACTGAAAAGTTTTGTAGTGCCAAAATAAAAAGGTTGGAAAGGCGAAACCACAAATGTAGTTGTTACCCTAATATATCTTTTCAGAACATTCTTTGCATCCTTTGATCTGCATGGGAATTACTTGATAGGCGATGGCAGCATGACGTTGACGTCTGAAAACTTTGCTATGTCAATTATCATAGTGCTGGGAAATCTTCGACAAATGTGCAACAGTAGGTTCAACAGATTACAGTAGGGACTACGCATACAGCCTAGTGTGAGACAGTTTAGCTGGCAAATTGTCCGAAAATTACGGACCAAATTTTTTTTGAACCATTGATCCAAAATAGTACCTCTCAATCGATTTGCCTTTTTGGTCAAAAAAGATAAAGAATCTTTGCAGAATCAAGTGACTGTCACATGTCCAGAGACTTTACGTTTGTGATACTCCGTTTGGCTTCCTCTTCGTGCTGCAGCAGTATAGTGGGAAGATCAACAAGGCTTGTGAGAATGGTAAGCAAAGTTGACTTTATGCGAATGACATCTCTGGGTATTTACTGTTGATCACGAAGGGAATTTTAACATGATTTGGTTAATCGATGTCCCATTGTTTATCCCCAATTATTTTCCTCGACTGATACAACATACGCGTAAGTACCTCCTGCCTCAATTGGTGGGCCGGCTCGTGTGGCTTAAATCTGGCGCAACCGCTTCACTTGGGCTTTGCAACTCTTCCACAAGCCTGCTCCCTGACCAATTTTTCACTCGTTACGTGGGAAAAGCCGAACTTTAATCGCTATTGAAGCTTGGAAAATGGTCAAAGAGCACGCTCGCGAATGGAGTGCAAAGCTCCAGCAAAGCGGATGGGAGCCATAGCGATTGTATCAAAGACCTATCTCGATGGGTAAACATCCTGGTGCAAATGGGAACGTTTACATAAATGTGAAGCCCTTCGGGCATTTGGAACGGGATACATAGGTATCTCCGCCAGAGCAGAATATGTGCTTTGCCATCCATCCTCAAGTTTAACTGTTGATTGATAATCCCTTTCAGTTAAGCGCTCTTTTTCAAAACCATTTTCTCTTCTTCAGTTCAATAAAAAGATTTAACTTAAACTGCCCACCCACTGTTGACAAGATAATAGAAGTCGTAGTGGCTCACACAAGCTGCATACCATTGGATCAGTGGCGTACCGAGGGGGGGGGGCGGGGGGGGCGCGCGCCCCCCCCGAGAACGGGTCGCGAAATTTTTGAAAATTACTTACATGCGTTATGAAAATGTGCAAATGACTTGTTTATTTTTGTAAACAATTAAAATAATTTTTTAAATTTTTTAAAAATTCAAATTAGCCTTATAAAAAAAATTTTTTCGGGGGCGTGGCTGCCGCCACGCCCCCTTTTTCCAGATTTTATGGGTTTGGGGCCCGCAAAATTGTTGAGAAGTCCCCCTAAAAATTTTTTGGAGTGCGTGGCTATCGCCACGCACCTTCATTTGAAAATTTTTTTTGCCGCGCCCCCCCCGAGCCGAAATCCTGGGTACGCCACTGCATTGGATGCAGCATGTAAGGCCCCGGTCAGACTTCACGCGACTTGATCGTCGCGATCTAATCGCCAAGATTTCCATTCATTTTCATTTCACATTTTAAAATGTCGGGCTGGAAAAGTATCACAACCGAATGCAAGTTGATCGGCATGGAATGATGTTGTAACAGTTATCTCGTCGCGACTCAGTCGCGACGATCAAATCGCGTGAAGTCTGCCCAGGGCCTAAGGCTGACCTTAGGTCGTTTTTTTATCTGCTGGACGCCTTCTGAACGAAGTTGAAAGCTAATATACTCAAAAGAAATTGTGTATACAATATGCAAGTTCGGAAAACGGAGCAGCTTGTGTCAGGGTTACGGTAGGTTTACGGTATAATGGGAAAATTTTTAGATCGCGTTTGATTTCGCTGAAACTTGACCTATGGGGGCTATTCGACATGCTGATCACAAAAACGAAACCCGCTTTTGCATGAAAGGGCCTCTTTCGTATGGTCAAGAGATGAATTTTCATCTTAACGACAATCGGCTATGATATTTGTGTTCATCGTATTGGATTACCCTATTGTGCAAAGTTTTAGCGAATAAGGTTTGCAGTTTAATTATTGACAGACAGCCCTCCAAATTTGACGCAGTTGACTCGCTCAAATTCTCAAAGACGTTCTACCTTTTGCCTTCAAATTTTGTTCTTATTTTCTGATTCCAATGTGCCAACTCCTAGCTTCTAGCTGATACCCATTATTGCTTTTTGATATGTTTGATTCAGGTTTTGTACGGCTCGTTTGAATCTTGAAACCTCGATTTTCAACAATTTTCGAAAAGTGCTCAAATTTTTTTGACTACGTTATAAGTAATTGAACAGTCTGAGCAGACTTAAAGCCTACGTCACAGTGTACATGATGTCAGAGAATGAGACAGCTAAAAGTTATGGGAAAAGTTGCAAAACTTTTGTGTCAACCTAAAATCCTGGTATTCAAAACCCCATTTACTCTACATAAGAAACCTGCTCAACACTATTGCGTTAAGTAATCGCTATACTTTCTTCACAGCTTTGAGCTATTTTTATTAATCTCAAAAAAGAACTCGGTTTGCTGCTGCGGATCGATACAGTACTGAAAAGCAGGAAAGGCGCTCTACTAAATCTGGTTCCTCTTTGATATTTTCGTCGTAAAAGGTGATAAAAATACTTAACAATGGATTGATAGCGCAAAATCAGTTCTTGCATTAGGATAGAGTCTTACTTGTAGGCTGAGTTACCCACCTTAAAGGGAATAATACATACGGTCCTTGGACAAAAGGCTAGAATATCGCTCTCAGAACGTGCAAAATTTCCGTAGATGTCGCGGAATTCCGAAAATTTCGCGGACTCACGGAAATTTTGCACGTTCTGAGAGCGATATTGTACTAGTAAGATTGAGCTAGAGATAAAATTCTATTTCGAGTCGTATGAAAATGACTTTTAGGCATTAGTGAAGTATGATGCTTTGTGGAAAATATAACTCTTCTGTCAAGCATATGAATTTTCGTTAACAATAACCAGCATTAAAATTTCCTAACCTTACCATTTCTTAATCAGCTTGTTTGGATAGCACATTTCTTTTGATATACCGTTCACGATTGTTGCAAGCATTCGGTCTACTGGAAATAAACTTCCATGACGGTCTATTCACAGGATTACGGAGCGCTAAAATTCGTTTATGTTTCGCTGTAGCCACAAGGGGAAGTGTGATTAATATATAAAACATCGAAAATCCCACCCATTAAGTTCTTCTTTAGCGTATCTGCACGACGTCTTGCAAGCACGTTTAAAAACGCAAGAACTATTGAAAATTTCCAGGCAGCGACCACTGTGCTGAAATAAAGTTTAGATAGAAAACAGTATAGTTAGCAAAAATTGAACTATAAGGACCTACCAGGGCTTTATCATTTTTTAGCAAATTATGTGCTCTTCTAAATTAAAAAAGCTCCTTGCCTCAGACAAAGGAAAAATTTTTGGTATGAGAATCTGCAAAATTATTGACAGTTATAATAAGATACTAGAAAATTGTTGTAAAGAGATTAATCGAATTAAAACATATTCTAGATTATTTGGGACGAGAAGAAAAAATTTCACAATTACTACTGGTTTTCAAAATCGAAAAAGAGGAAACTGCAAAAGCTCCAGAGTTGTATACTTATATATCTGACACCTGATTGTGGTCTAGATGTGATGGTCGTCGGACGAAACGTGACAATTTTTTATCTGAGCAAAAAAATGTTACGAACGCGTGCAAGATAGAAAGAAATTGTTGGGTTCAGCGCAGTTCAAGCACAGTCAAAAACAATTAGTGACCCCTTAAAGTTGATTGATACAGTAAGAATTGTTTACAAAGTAAGTAGTAAGTAAGTTTATTCAGTAAGAAACTATAAATTTTTTAGCCATTTTGTCAGTATTTTTTATATGATTACAGTAAGTAATCATCGTGTTCCCTAAGGTTCCCAACTCCCAATATGTGCTTTATCGTTTTTTCCTTATTAGCACAGCTGAAGGCATTGTACTTTTTGATAATGTACGTGCCCATAATGTTTCCATAATTCGAGAACAATCGATTTCAATTGTCTACGAATGATCGCACTATGAGCTCTCATGCAACTTGACACCAGAGTTTAAGGTTCAAAAAGCTGAACGTTAGCAAGTCCTGGTGAAGTCATGAAACGTAAACGAGCACTGTAAAGTTACTTTTTTACCTGCTCAAAGTTTTAACAAAAAAAATTGCTGCTGTGGGAAGTTTGCGCTTTTCAAAAATTTCAGTGTAAATTAGTCATAGTCAAGTTACTTTAACAGAGTTAGAGGAATACGAATTATACACACGTTTTAAATGTGCGGCGAATACAAAATACGTTCCAACCTCTATTTTTCAAAAATCTTTTCTTTTTTTGCGGTTTATCAACATAATTTAGTCACTTTACTCTCCTTTATGGAAAAGAAAAAATATTCTACGAATTCCCAAGTTTCCTCACTTCTTAACCTCGACATTACTAGTGTGTTGTAAGTAGATTAATAAGACGACAGAGGTTAGTAGATTTGTTAGCAAGTGGCGGTCTAGGGTTTTGAAATATTCGTCTTCTTCAAAGGCCTCCTCCATTGCCTCCACATATTATAGATTATGTAATATAATATTATATTAGGTTGTCCCGAAAGTTTTGTCGTTTTTTCATCGGTCGCTAAAACCCAAGGGACATCAATCCATAAACAATCTAGGTATCATTTGATTTAGATTCTTATCCCCTTTCTTACAGCTGTAGTTGCTCTCTGGTCTACCTTCTCTTTGCAATGTTATTGCCATGGCTTTTTGAGCAGTTCAGCACTAACGCCAAATCTCTTATGTAGAGCAAATCTTTGGCTCATTGTGCTTATTTTAGATCACGTGAGCCACGTTTATTAAAGGCAGCGTCCAGGCAGATCTGGACCTATGGGGCTTTTACGTGGAAAGTATTTTTGGGGCCTTAGCTAAGGCACTGCCCAAGCGGCAGCTCAGGTAGTCAACGGCTGAGATATTCCCCTCGAAACTGGACCACGCGATCGGATTTGCATGGATTCATGGCAGTTTCGCGCCAGGATCCACGCTTTGCGCCATGAATCCATGCGAAACACGGTCTCGGGGTCCAGTTTCGAGGGGAATATCTCAGCCGTTAGGGCACCTGAGCTGCCGGTTGGGTAGTGGCTTAGTTAGGGCCCCAAAAGTACCTTCCACGTAAAATCCCCATAGGTGCAGACTTGCCTGGACGCTGCCTTTAAGTCCGTTATAATTATTTATTTAAGAATAACCGCTGCTTTTTGATCACGTTTACCACGTAAAGTTACCGAAAATTCCAAAAAGCTGATTTTTCAAAGCGAATTGAACTTGGTTATGTTGCATAATTATTGTTTAACAGCATTAAGGTTTCAATTTGCAGAAGTTCCAGAAGCTTTTATGTTTCTACTGCAGTTGCGTGTTTCATGACTTTGCCAAAAGTCGAGACCTCCGAAGAAATAATCTAAAGCTAAAATCAGCAGTTTAGGAGAATCTAAAAGTATCACCTTGTAGTCCGAGAATTTTTCTATTTGTGCCATACTTAATCACTGCCGGAACATTGGAATGAATTTTTCAAAAAATTAGCCTAACTTTGAGCAGATAAAATTAAAGGGTAAAGAATTTTGGCAATTATCAAAAAAGCACACAAGATCATGGTCCAAAAAATGCTACCACATGAAAAATAGAAGGAAAAGCTGCATCGAATGCATGTTCTCTTTCAGATCTTTATTATTGTGCATAGTTTCATAGCTGTTTGAAAAAAACCGACAAAACTTTCGGGACAGCCTAGTATAATAGATTATTGGTATCAGTGGCACTGAAGGACGGCCGCTTTCAACATTTGCGCGTCGGCGGTGGAGGAGGCCCATGAAGAAGAGGAATAGTCCAAAACGTTAGGATGCCACTTACTAATAAATCTGCTAACCCCTATCGGCTTACTAATCTACTCACAACATTCTGCGAGTATGTTCAAAGACTGGCATGAATTTTTGTGCAGAATTTTTTCTGCCAGAATTCTGCTCAAACCTTGAATGGCGCCGAAAAGGGATAACTTCGGTCGGTCTCGGATTGAGCAGAGGTTAGATTTGGAGGTGGGAAGGCAAATTTTATTGAAAATACAGCAGCATTACTGGATTCTCTTGTCTTGAGCACTTCAGCTGAGAACTAATCCATTCTCAACGATAAGTTACCGAATGAAAATAATACTGAAAATCTCTCCACTGCAATCTAGTTCTAATGGCCAACAATATAGATATTTTTTGAGTTTTTTAGCGCCCGCTGCCCAACCATTTCTATTGAAGCGCGCTTTGAGATGATCTTGTAGAGGTCTCAAAGTCGAACATAGGAAATTTTTGTACAAAGCTTCAGCATTTGCAAACGATAGCTGTGGACACCTTTGTACCAGTCCCTCCAGATTCAGAGATGCGTTACATAAAGCGTAATCCATGTCAAGACGCAGACATCAGCTCGATTGAGAATGATGCAGTTTCCGCTGGGAACCGTCGCGAGGCATACGTACGTCATTATGTTTGGCTGGCTAGAATGTAGCGCGTAAGTTGTGCCCAGAGTTCCCTGCGTGCCGACCTGGTGCCAGCACGGGGCGGCGCCGTGCCACAACGCGCATTGCGTGCCAGCACTGAATACGTTATGGTGGAGGACATTAGGTTGTCGATAGACTCCACCCACGCAGACAGCTAACATGAGGCAGTAATGGTGAAGGCGGGCGGCTTATTGCAAATGTCCGCTTGGGACCTTCTATTTCGGCGACCCAATGTCCTCTACCCAGATCGGTACGGCCAAGAACTACAGTGGATCCTTTTAGGTACAGTCTCCTTATCATAACGCCAGAAGAAATGTAGTTTGCTTATTAAATTTTTTTTTGCGAAAAAGCTCTTACAGTTAGAGTGGTGGCGCACTGATGTAATCGAACGATATTCTTTGAGTAGAAGGATGACTCCTATTTAAGCAGTAATGGTTGCATTCTCAGATGAAAAGAGAACTAGTGCAGACCCTATGCGGTGCTCTACCATTGCACTCTCTTATACTAAATGCACTGTATACAGCACAGAGACGAGCGAGACTTTGCAAGGACGATCTATAGAGAAGAATGGTCGTTGTCGGCTTACTGCCACCATATCATATCATAGTTATGCACCTGCACGTTGTCACATATACACAGCACAGGCGCGAATAGCGGCATTCTGACGTAGGTGACACGGGCTGACGACCACCACGGACTGCACGACACACATACACCACATACACACATCTCTGTATGTGTCCCCCATAGAAGATTGATTGAAACCGATGTGGGGCTGTCTTGTATTCCGCGCTGATCGCCCGTTCCGCCAGAGAATTCACGATCGACTTCAACGAGCGATCTAACTTCATCGATGATTGAATTCAATTAAATGATCATGGGGGAAAACATTGGCTCGGCGGTCACGCTTTGACACTAATGATTTGATAAATGATCATGACACTGTCTATAACAAGTCTCTATGTTAGTGTCAAAGAGCGAACGTTTGAACCAGCTCTTGTTTTGCGCTGAAAACCTTTCAGAAATTTTGTAAAGCTAGACATTCTTCTCCCTTATAAAGCACTTATCGAGGGAAATAGATGACAGACATGGCCTTTCTTATCCGCAGCAGTATGCTACAGTAACCGCACGCCTTATCGCATCAGCGCGCGCGGCCGGGTCCTGCATAGAACAAACTAAAACAATTAGTCCTTACAAGATGTCCTACACCTGCTTGCTTGATTTGTTGAATGTTTTTTATCATCTATTTATTTAATTTCTAATCTTCAATTGATTACATATCTAATTGATTACCACATTAGATACATTATAGTAACATTATAAGCGTAATGTGCCTTCAATTTATACAAAATGAATCCAGACTTGTTTCATGTAGGAAAGAATTCTAGCGACTTGGAAATAAAAATTAGGCGCATTTTTTTGGCAGGGCTATAAACAAAAACTGATGTAGAATGAATGAGAATGAACAGGAGAAAGGTAGTAGATTTATTTGATTTGATAGCTTCTAAAAGGAGCGCGTTCTGTTTAATTTAGGAAGTTGTAGAAGGAAATTAATGAACCAAATGATTAAGTGATTGAAAGATGATTAAGGAAACGATTTTAGAACACGATTGAGCGTTCTCTTCTCCATGATCCCCCGCTTATAGTGATTATTCATACATCTTATCAATTGTCATTCTTGCAACACCTTCGTCTGTGATGCTCTTATCAAGTTCGGTTTTGACAAGTCCTCCTAAAAAAATCATGAAAGTCAGTCGTAAAGGTGTGAGGGTGTGTTGGGTGTCCTTCTCCGGCGTGATTCTTAGTCTTTAACTAAAACAATATAAATGATGCTGTATTCGTATTTATCAAGCTGTGCGAGTGGTCTTTTTAGTCAAGCTCTCAATCATTAAACACTTTGTTAAAAATTTTTTCAAATGCTTTCCTGATAAGGAAAGAAATCAACTGACAATTTAATAGGATCTTCAATAATTTGTGGAACAAAGTTCATCAGAAACACTGTAGCCAGCGCCCAAAATACACTTTCTAATTTCGACCGCTGCATTTTTCGTTTTTTTTTCGTTTTTGCCAAAACAGATTCGCAATCTGCTTAGCCAGCAGATTCAAAAAAATTACCTGGTGACAGTCCCAGATTATTTTCTTGAAAAGGAAACGATGTTCTCCCGAATATGGAGACGTTGCGTTGATACGTCTCTAAGAATATTTTTGAATACTTCGCAAAATTTTCGCCGGTTTGTAACCTTTTTGAATTATAAATGGCAAACAGCCCTCGAAAATCTTTGCAACACTTTATTAGGTCGCTTCTCAAGTTTATAGCGTAAACCAACAAAAACATCAATTTACAGTAAAAATCAATCAAAATTAAATTCTTTTTTAGCCGAGCGCCGCATTCTTGTCAGTTTCTCAATCTCAATTTTTCAAACGGCAGCGCGCCAGGTCCCAAGAAAGCATCTAACCAGCCATCAAACTACTTACTGAAATCAAGACAGGCACCATTCATGAGGTTTTCCAAAGAGCGAAGCAAGTAATAATGTGATAGAGCGAGATTCGGAGAGTAATTTGGATACTGAGATACCTTCCAATCAAATCGTGCAGGACAGTTTTGACGACGTTTGCCGTATGAGGCCATGTTTCGTCATGCAGAAAAACTTACTAAATTCGTCTGTTGGGCTTTTTCTGCAGTACGACCTGGCTTGGAGAATGCAATTGGATTGCTTACGTTATGGTTGATTATCGTCTATTTGTACAGCAATTTTCAGTGTAGGACGTTCTGCTCGTCCCCCGAAAAGTCTTGTTCAAGGACACCCTACTTAGCCCCTGATCTTTTGAATCCAATCCTTTTTTATCTCATATTGAAATACAAGCGCCGTGTTCATAATCGACTAGAAAATCTATGCAGGACCGCTCCTTTTCGTGATCTTTTCATGAGGAAAAGGAACAGATGTCGAAATGCTCCTTCCTGCCATTCAATAAGCCATCTTTGGAAGCTAAGAGGTCCGAGTGGACAGCTTTCCACCGGAATCAGTAGATATATTTTGGAGAGCACAATCAGCCTTTTCAAATGATATACGTACTTTGCCGCAACTCAATCGCTCCATATATATGAGGATGAAAACGAAAACGCTACGAACTCATAGAACGACCTACTATTTTTCAATGGAAGGATTTTTTCACTGTTTGTAAATGGAATCACCTTCATACTTTTATATATCACGGAAACCATGAAAGATCCACCGTTTCGTGGATATTAAGGGAGCGTACTTAGGGGACGTAGTGTTATTTCTGGTAGGTCTCTCATCCGTAAGATTTAAATCTTCCTTGGAATTCTAAGAAAGTATTTGATAAGAACAAAACTATTACCTTTCAAGCTCAACTTCGAATTTTTGTTGGCGATAATAATATGATAAGTCTTACTATAGTAAATTTAACTAGATTTGTGCTAAACCGCTCTATTTCTTGTTGAAACCGTTTGTTCATTGACGCCATAATCATGTAACCCGACCTAAAAGGGGCACTTCAGAAATGATGAGTTGGGGACAAAAGGCATGTTTCCCTGAAGTTTGATGTGAGATCATAAGCTTTATGCGATCAGCTGTTTTCAAACTCTGTCATCTTTACTGCAAGCATGCAGCTGATGAGAAAAAGCTAGACTTCGCCAAGTTAAAACTCATATTCAGGGTTCACCGGTTATAGCAATGTGTAGACGAAGAGCAATAAACATGAGTGAAAGGACAGTAAAGCAATTAAGGTTAGTTACCAAATAAGAGCACCATTATCGGTAAGTGAATGTAATTCAAAAGTAAAGATCGAGGAAGATCTAAATAATTTATCACTTCCTGCTTGCGCTGCAAGGAGGCCTAGAGACTAATAATAATTTTCCCTTAAAGGCTTATCTTATATATAAAGCTGAATGTCTGTTTGTATGTATGTATGTCTGTCTGTATGTATGTATGTACGTATGTTCCGAATAGAAAATTCCATTTCTGAACCGATCCGGACCAAACTTGGCACACATACACTACGTGCCCCGGCGGGTGTCATAGGCTACTTTTCGTCATCGATCGATATCGATTTTATCGATTTTTATCGATTTTTTTGCTGAGTTCACCTACGGGGCTGGGAGTTGGCACAGGGGGGTAATCGAGCATGGGGATTCCGAATATAATATTGGTTTTCAGGATTATCGATTACTTTTATCGATTTTATCGATTTTTTGCAAAGTTTGAGCTACGGGGCTGGGAGTTCGCACAGGGGGGTAATCGAGCATGGGGATTCCGAATACAATATTGGTTTTCGGGATTATCGATTACTTTTATCGATTTTATCGATTTTTTGCAAAGTTTGAGCTACGGGGCTGGGAGTTGGCACAGGGGGGTAATCGAGCATGCTGATCATCCCCAAGGGGGGTGATCAGCATGCTCGATCACACCCCTGTGCCAAATTCCAGCCCCCTAGCTCAAATTATCAAAAAATCGATAAAATCGATAAAAGTAATGGACGATCCTGAAAACTAATATTGTGTTCGTAATCAGCATGCTCGATTACCCCCCTGTGCAAAATCCCAGCCTCGCATGTAAAAATTTACAAAAAATCGATAAAATCAATAAAAGTAATCGATAATTCTGAAAACTAATATTGTATTCGGAATCCCCATGCTCACTTCCCCCCCTGTGCCAACTCCTAGCCCTGTAGGTGAACTCTGCAAAAAAATCGATAAAAATCGGTAAAATCGACATCGATCGATAACGAAAAGTGGACTGTGACACCCGCCGGGGCCCGAAGTGTATGTGTGCCAAGTTTGGTCCGGATACGGCGGAGCCGGGTAAGCCAGCTAGTGGGTCATATTTCTAGCTGCTTTCTAAATGCGCCAAAATTCAACATTCTTTTTACAGCTTAGGCACACGCCATACTTGATCCTCTTAATCCTCTTGATCCGTTTTTGTGAAAAACTTAAACTTACTTATTTGTCATTTGGCGTCGCGTATGTTGATAAAAAGTTTTGTATGGTAGCGCAAATTTGCTGTACGCGGCGCCAAATGACAAATTAGTAAACGCGCGTTTTTCACAAATCATATCAAGCGGATCAAGATATGGTATGGTGTGTGTCTTACTATTGATATTGTGTCTTCTGTAACATGGAGAAAAATACATTTTCCTCATCAAATGGAAACCTCTTTGGAGAAACGATGAATGGTATTACATTTCCATGTATCTTTTGCCATAAAAAAGTAGAGCGTATGTGGCTTGGTCAATCAGTTGCGCTGAAACCGATTCCTTTTCGATCAAAGGAAGCCGAAAGAAGAACTGTGTTACGTGGTCGTTTTTTGAGGTTATCAAAAAGGACTGCTGCATTTGAATGGTTCAGCTGAGTTTGATAAAGTGAAAAGTTGTGATAGAAAAACTGTGTCACGTTTCATGGGATCGAGTTCATCATAAGGGCTTTAAATCATAAGACATGAAAACTTCATATAAAATATAAGGCGTACATGTACAGTGTATCATAACTGCCATTCGTTTGAAAATGTTAAAGAGGTCATTTAAAAAAAGGACGAAAGGAAAACTAGTGTGTGTGACACCTCAACGAAGAGCATCAATTGCAGCAGAGTATATGGTGACATCTGACACTACAATATCTTTGCTATAGTCGCAAGAAAATTTTAACATAATGGAAGATGAGTATTCTTTACTACTACTACTCTAACAAAAGGTCATGCAAGACCAAGAAAATCCTAAGCAGTGCTGCTTCATCCGAAAAGTGAAAGTGTGAGCGATCGAGTCCATAGTTAAAAGAAGTAAGTCAACTGGCAGCTTGTGTTGATGATGTTGACCCTGCTGAAGAAATGCCTAAATACCCATAACACTTGACGGACTACGTGATAACTTCTATGAGTATAGACGACTGTCTCATCAGTTCCACATTGCTTGACTACAATGACAGTAAATGACAGAGAGGTTAATATCTCTTATAGAAAGTGCTTCACATAATCGCATTTTGTTTAACTTTGTCAGATGAAAAACTGCATGGTTTTCTATCATCCATGCTTCGTGTGTGAATGAGACGTTAAGGGTGTCAAAAGAAGAAAGGAACTCTGACTATATTGGGTTCAGACGATCATAAAGCAGGCATAATGAAGTTCTAGATGAGTTTCAACATGCAATAGCTGCAGCTTTTCCTTCTCTTTCTTATAGATACATTTTCGAACTAGATTCTTCAACGCAATTCTTAATAGTTGCAAAATTTTCCATCTGTCATTTTTATCTGCTCTTCTCGTCAGTTCGGCTAATTCTCAAAAAATTGTATTCCGAAGTTTCAGAAATAATCGAGTAAGAGTCAAATAAAACAAATCTCGGACTATATATGGCATTTCTAGGTTCTCCTAATCTGCTGTTTTTAGTTTTAAAAAATGGCATTTCTAGGTTCTCCTAATCTGCTGTTTTTAGTTTTAAAAAATTATTTCTTTGGGGTGTTGATTTTTGGCAAAGTCATGGAACACTCAGCTACAGCAAAAACATGGAAGCTTTCGAAGTTTTTGCGAATCAAAAGTTGATTATTATTAAGCATTATTTGTGCAACATAACATGAGTTTGATATGCTTTCAAAAAATCAGCTTTTTGGAACTTGCGTACTTTTTCATGGTGAATGTGATCCAAAAGCCGCGTTCTTCCCAAATGAATAGTTATTACGGGTTTGATAAACATGACCCATGTAACCTAAAATGGGTATAATGTAGCCAAAGGTTCGCTCTACATAATAGTTGTTAATACTGGTTAATACTGTTCTGAAAGTACTAGAATAAAACCTATTAAAATTTAAGGAAGATTTGGAGTTACTGTTGGTTTTGGAGTTACTGTTGCTCAAAAATCCATGGCGATCATATCGCAAAGACAGCGAAGATCAGAGAGCAATTATAGCAGTAAGAAAAGGGATAATCTAAATCAAATGGCACTAATACATGCGTCTACGTATTGGTGTTTGTGACTTTTAGTGATCGATGAAAAAAACCGGCAAAATTTTAAGGACAACTCAATATATTAATACTAATAGTGTTTTTTATATGGTAGAATTTCCAGAAAATTCAGGAGAAATTTTTCAAGAAGAACCCGAAAGAAAAGAATATAAAACTTCTTCAACTCTTTGTATCAATCATCTTTTTTTAGCCCTATTAACCACATGTGTCACATTGGAACGACAAGTCTCAAATTTGAAATTGGCAGGCGCTATACGTGCGACATTGATAATCGTTCAATGTTGTGATTTTTCGAAAATCCTCTTCGTTCGCTTTGGACGCGAAAGTTTTTCAAAGCTCTTTACAACTAGGGTTTTCAAACGAATGAAATGACGAACACTGTGAACGTGCACGTGTTCACATAAACGATTTGAACAGAGTTGAGAGGACAACTCTCAACTTTGTTGTAAAATTGTGATTTTTCAAGCTGACGTAGTGAAGTGTGCTCTTCACAGTTTTGCTTCGCATTATTTACCGAGTGAGATGGTCTGTGAAGCAAAGTAAAAAGTGTAAGGGAAGAGTTTTGTCTTTTAGAACAAGAAGCTACAACAGTAATGGGTGTAAACATTGATGTAGAAACTTTAGATAAATTCTGGGCTTTTTTTGCACAATTTCAAGTCACCGGTTTTGCTATGTATAACTTCTTGCAATAGCGTCTAGGGAAATAACTACTCATCAGTCGGAATTTGCTAGGGGAAGACTCAAAGTCGAAGTTGCCTTTCCAAATAATATATACCAATCTGATGAACATCAAACGCTGATTCCGAAACTGTCCTTTGTTGTTTTTTTTGCAGAGCGCCTTCTAGAGGGAAAAATGATGGCAAAATCTAAATAAAATCAATGGTTAAGGTCTTTCCATTGGTGAGATAAAGAAGTTTTGATGTACGATTATATTAGTCGACAGGTATTCAATGCATAGAGTGCTCTGATATCCGAGGCAGGGCCATTTGCACAATCTTGGACACTTTTTTCTAATCGCGCGTTCAAACATTTGAGGCAAGGCTCATAAGTCAGCGTTTAGAGGCGCTCGGCAGAGAGCAAAGGCAATTTTTTATCTTTATACTGGTATACATTCCAAATGGAAGGCCGATTTCGACTTCGGGTCCTCCCTTATCTACTAGGAGTAGAACACCTATGTCTTGGTCCTGTTTCCAAGGTCGCCATTTGAAAAATTAGAACACAATGCGCACTTTGTGTAAGTAACCAAAGCCACGGAAAGGCCTCAGAATGACAAAAACATGGAAGCAGGGCTCGGCACGAGCTGGCACCAGGGAAATTTCAAAACGAAGTCCCCTTTGACCTTGAAAATTTCGTACGAAGTCCCCTTTGACCTGTTTTGAAGACCCGTCACTGTAGTGAAGATACTTTAACGCGTACTAACTTTCTAAAGTCTGTAGGCGAAAACTGATCGTTTTCAATGATGGCTCGATCCCGTATAAAGCATTAGGCCGTAAAGACACTCAACTATTCCTGTTCAGTCAATTTTGTTATACTTCACTAACGTCATCGATGGTGACAAGAGAACAGGTGAAAAAACCAACTATCTGTACATAGATATGTCCAAACAATAAACAGAACAGGGTAGCACCCACGAGCCCCTCCCTAAACAGCTTTCTTTCCTAGTCCTCTAAAGTGTCAGCATGTCACATTCTTACATGCCGCTAACTCGGCGAACTGCTCAGGCACCCGCCATACTTGATCCGCTTCATCTACTTCGCTATTGGTCAAATCAGCAAACTGACCAATGGCGAAGTGGATGAAGCGGATCAAGTGGATCAAACGGATCAAGTATGGCGCGTGCCTCAGGAATAGCACATAATAAATGAATGAGTAATCAATGTGTTGACTGAAAAGTAATCAGTTACTCAAATAACATATTTCAATAAGATTAGTCACAATTTTCGGAAAATGGAATCAAGAATATAGAATCCTACAAGGGGCCATGAAAGTGTTAGATGTTAGTTTCAAGTCAATTTCTGAGAGAAATACATATAAATGAAGAACGAAGGAATACTCACTCTCTGGTCGTTGATGTAGTTCCGTTGGGTGAGCGATCATTGATATGATATTTCTCGATCCTCCCACTGGGCACCCTTCACGCCGATTATATCAGCATGATCCCTTGAAATCATATTCGAGAGCGGAAAAGCACGAGTTAATGAAGAGTATGCTGACATAAAAGGAAAAATCTGTCAAAAATAGAACATAACACGAAATTGACAGAGTTCGCGGCATTTGCATAGGGCGCGCATTGTGATTTGGAGCAGATTTTCCAACTGAGGAGCACAACGGTGAAATTTCATATGCCTGGAAAATGCCGAAAAGGGAACGTTATGAATTCGTTTTTTCTCTGTATGTAAACTTTTGAAGTGTAGATACAATTTATGTAAAAAAGTATGAAAACTTATGTGTGCAAAGGGCTGGTGCCAGCTCAGCTGGCACCCAGCTGGCACGGTGCCAGCTAATTCAGAAAAAAGTTGGGCACAGCTTCCATTCACATAAGTTTTCATAAATTTTTGGGCTATAGTTCGGGTCCCCCAACGCGCATGCACACACCAAATTTGGTGTCATATGATTGCGTTTTGTTTATAAACAAGGCCTTTGTTTGTTTCCGGCAAAGTTTGAATTCCCGCGCTGGAATGTAGCCGGCATGTCGCCGCCGGCATGTCAGTGGCATGCCAGCGGCCAAATTTAGACTTAGCATGCTGCCTGCAAACCTATGTACGTGTTTGGAAGGACAATTCAAACACAAAATGTCGGAATGTCGATATATCCTTCTGCAATTTTTCCGGGACTCCGCCCCGGACCCCGGAAAAACGATATCCCCTTTGCTTTCCGCCCCAAAAACGATATCCAGCTTGACCCGGTGCCAGCTGTGCCGAGCCCTGCATGGAAGACATAGAGTTGGGTGGATGCTGCCTTTGACTTCTCACGGAATACTAAAGCGATCCGAAATATCATCACTATCCCGACATTTTAGTGCGCAGTTTCAAGCCTTTACCATCGCTTATCAGTCCTTCAAATTTTTCGTAGGGAAAAATGACAATCATGTTTTTGAACAGCTGTCGTTCCAAAATAATCACTATCTGAGCCTAAATTTCGTTTTCAGGTGGTGAGTGACGGATGAAAAGCTGTAGCCACATGGCACAACAACGAAGATTGTGTTCTACAACTTGCGAATTTTGTAGTTAAAAATGTGAGGAATCATTTGTGAGCGAAAATCAATTACAGTAGATTGCTCAGATTTCGTCATCTATGGTCGTGCGCGGGTTAGCAACAGCAGAATTGTTTGAAGTACCTTTTGGACATTTTACACTAACTTCAGTTGGTTTTCTGAGCTTTTAAGTTTTTTTGTGTATGAAACTAAACAGCTCAATTTCGATCACCATCCAATTAGTCGTCTGAAAATAATTTTTGCTCAAACACAAAACTTGAATTACACTTTACAACGATACCGTACGTAGTGAGCGCTGGCTTAATCTTGCGTTTTGGCTGATGCAGTTGTTTTCCTAAAAGGTTGGAGTCTTCTTTGTAGTCGAGAAGGTGGTTTGATCGGGTAATTCACTTGTGTGTCTTTGACTTTTCAGAGTCTGAAGAAGGCGACTTTGCCGAAACGTTAATCTGTATATTACGCAAAACAATTAAAACCCATTCTTTGTTATTGCACTGCAGATGTAGAATACGTTCAAAATTTGACATTCGGAGCATCTCAGCCGTGAACTGAATGATAAAAAACAAGTAACTGTCTACGAATCCATGTATCTGTAGTCATGCACACTTTTGCTCCAAAGCACAAAAGCGCCTTTAGAGTAGCCGTATTTTTGTGCCAAGAGCATTCCTAGACACACGCTAAAATTTAGCACAAAAGCAAAGCAAAAACAACGCACGCTATTGCACGCTTGCATGATGTTTCATCAAAGTTGAGTATCAATCTCGTTTACAAAATAAACAAGAGCAATTTTTGATGAATATGGACATGATATGTATGATCACCTCTAATTCGAAACAAATAGGGGGTTCTTGAAAGCAAGTGTATATCATAATTCCGCGGTACTTTTATAACGTTATAATGGTTTTTCCAAAGAATGTTGTAAAAGAAATGTCATTCTTCCGCCATTCGTCGAATATGATACGTCACTCACGCGTTTGACATTTATCAAGGGTTGTGTGCCTCTCACCTACCAACGTAAGATCATCCTCTTTTTCTGTTATGTTCACCTCCCACTTCTACAATTTTAAAGATAGACATAAAAAATGCTATTAGGTTGTCCCAAAAGTAAACTACATTTTTGAATTACTTGAGCTGTTTTTGTTTTTTTGATAGATTTAGAGTACCATTCGGTAGAGCGCAACGAGCTCTACAAAAAGACTACCAAAGTTCCACCTAATTCGTAACCTAGTTAAATTTTGGAGCCAAAAATCAAAATTTTTCAGCTACCCTAAAAATCGCATCTCCTTCCAGAAATTTCCTGCAGAATTCCAACTTGGTCTTTATATAGCAGACATATAGTAGTACCCAAAAATGTATTTGGTGGATTTTTTCCTAGCTCAAAATTGAGAAACAAATAGGGTCCCAAAATGCCAAAATGCCTCTTTTTTCGGGTTTTTTTAATGTAAAACTTGGTATTTCTTGATTATAAGAGCACATACAGGGGTAAGATTTTGAAATTATACTTAGTAAGGATTGTAGTATACAATGACATATGTGGGAGGGGCTGGGGACGGAGTTTGCCATTTTTGGATAATATTTGTTTCTCGCTTTCTATGCTCGGAAAAAATTCGGTAAAAGCATATTTGTGTACTATTACATGCCTACTGTATAATGACTAAGTTGGAGGTCTGTAGGATTCTTTGTCGCAAAAATCCAATTTTCAGGTGACAAAATTTTTTTTTCGATTTTGGCTTCAAACTTTACATATGAGGCGACTTAGGCGGGCCCTTGGCAGTCGTTTTGTAGAGCTTGATCTGCTCTATCGAATGATACCCTGATTATACCAGAAAGTCAAAAACAGCTTGAGTTATTCAAAAAATTTTACTTTTGGGGCAACCTATTATTAATCTCGTTATGATTTATGCGAACCTAATCAAGTGGGCATAGAACAGAGAAGTGTTGCAGGGTTTCGATGCTTGATTCAGGAAAATTTGGATTCTTGTCTGGGCGGATTGCATTACAAGCCGTTGAAACATTACTGTTGGAAACTATCAAGACGTTTTAATACGTTCCGTGTTGGCTTGCTACTCTTAAGAAACACCTGGAAGTTCCTTCGAATTATGTCAAATCTAGTACCTCACCGGATTTAATTTAGGACATTGTCAAACTACAAAACATGATGATTTGTTTATGGCAAGTGGCGTAAAGGCATTCCTTATCAAATCTTCGAAACTCTTTCTGACTAAAGCACTCATCAAGACAAGCCTCCAAAAATTGGTCTGAATAATGGGTGTTCCTGCGACGGAACCTGTGGACACACCGAAACTGAAACGTTAATAAATACATTGCTCTATTGATGACTAAACATTCTTAGTGGTCCATTGAAATTTAATGGCATAAGACGTCAAGGTTTTTTCCGCAGACTTCACTAATGCACTAACGTATCACAATTGTTATGAATAACCTCAAAGAGTTACAAAACACACCTCAGAAGGCTGACTAAGATCGCGCTTTGATATCGATTTCATTTGTTTCAAGTTTGTGAGGTCTCTGAGTGCCCAGAGACGTCAAAATTTTAATCTTTTTGCTATCGAAGTGTTTCTTAACACTGCTAAATAGTGGCTACCTATAAAATCATCACTGCATTCCATACATGTTATGAGATATAACACCAAATATCATGTAGCCTCTCTTTTTGGTCGTGCAAATCAGAGTTGGGGTTGGGGAAGGGGACGGTGGGAGTACGACCGCTGTAGTTTATGTTACCGAGCCTACATATATTTTGAAATGTTTAAAAAACACAACTGAAAGGAATCATTCAGTCCCGTTTTCCTCGGTTATTGCCGTATTGCTTTGCTCAGCTCGTCGCTAAGGCTCCGTCCAGAGGGCCGGAGCTGTGGTGGCGCCAAGACCGTACCGGATCTCACAAGAATTTCGATTATTATCTGGCTGGAAACGAGGCCTACTGTATGCTCCGACCTCAGCGAAATGACCTTGTAATGATCGAAATTACCCCGGCACCGATTCGGCACTCTGGAAGGAGCCCAAGAACAGCATAGTAGAACCTTTTCTCATTCGAACAAAGTTGGTTTCTCGCGTATTCTACAAACAAAGCTGTGATAAGGTATGCTGTCCATGCACCCATTGAATATTGCCATCTGCGCGCCCATTTTCGATTTTTAAGCGAGCCGCTCAGTCGCCGCGCTGTATTATAGAAAATGAGACTTATGCCGCACGATACTCTCATCAATATAGAAGGATAAAGGATAAAGGATTCGGCGTCTTTAATACCCTCTGAGGGCATGCGCCGAACGCACACACTAAATTCATAGTCGAAGAGGCGATTGTATGCGTGCAAGCCTATTACAATGACTTGCGGGGGCCAGCCGTTTTTAAGTCAGTGCTTTTAGACAGTGCTTTTAGGGGGACGAGTGGCGTAATGGTATGAGGCGCCGCTATGACCAGATCGGACACAGGTTCGATCCCCGCCCCTGGGCCAACCAAGCCCTCTACCCTCTGGAGAGGTAAATTGGTACCAGAGTAATCTGGGAGGATAAAATCACTGACTCATCAATATGCAGCACTGTATATATTGGTCGCGAAGTCTTTCGGCGGGCCTATGCTCCCGGTTTTGGGAAAAGATCCCGCGCGTCCTATACTCTTGAAAGGGTAGCAAGAAAAACGTTGTTGTTCTAACGGCGGGATGCACTACTGCTCTCATGGGCTGAGCACCGCGACTTCACATACATTGCGGATGGGTCGCACGCTCTCGACTGGGTCCTTTTTTTCAACGTAAACAGCGGTAAAAACAGCGCCCGGACTGAGTGCGGAAAATTGATACGCTTCTGGAGTTGTGTGTCACTTCAAATATATGGAGAGCATTGAATATATTTTGGGCGAAACCGCTCGATCATTACGTATCCGAATCAGGAAACGTTCCGATGGCAAAAGACGGCTTTCAGCACCTTAATCATCCACAAAGTGCACAAAAATAAAGTAAATGATTTCGAGTTTGAAGTGCCTCAGCGCATGAATAAACAAATCCGCTTGCAAGATTATAAAATCTACCACATAACATCGGATGCACAAATGAATTGGAAAGGGGGAATGTTTCAATATCTTGTGAGCTGTATCATACAGTTTGTTTCAACCCACCTAGGGCCGAAATTTTAATGGCGAGCGTTTCACAGCGGTTCGCGTCGTGTTGCAACGTTAATATATCCTGTCATCTTGAAAACTCTCAAGTCCCCATTTTGTTCAATCCCTCGCTGGCAAAATGTGCTTTCAGAAATGCGTTCGCAAGGCCTCCTGCGAAGCGGTCGCGCGGCTCCACATGATATGCTGCAACGTGCTTCCGGTTGAGACAGACTGTAGCTAGGTTAAATACTTTAAGATGTTGTCAATTGCGCACCTACATCAAGCATTGCATAATAAGCGCTGATTCTATCGCATCTGAAGGAGAAAATTGGTTGTTGCCTGAGAAGAAAAATTCAAACTTTTCAGGCTTGCGAGTTTGCTTGCGTGAAGTGGAAAGCATTTTATCGGATTTGCCGCAAATTGAATCGCTCAGTTCAAGCCTTGACGGCGGCGAGCTGGCCAAAAAAACAAAAGGTTTATGTCATACTCGATTGTGGCTGAACAATGCAAATTGAACTCTATGTAACAAATTTTTTTGATATACCATGGAAAAGATGTGCTTGTCAGATCATCTACAATCCTGGTCGTGATCTTGACCTCTCCCTCCCCCCCCCTCCTCTTTTTGTTCTGCTATAACCTTTGATTCAACTGGCTTGGCTTCAGCAGGGCGGGGCATGGTGGCCTAATTGAAGCCGCTCGCGCCCGCGACGCACCTGCGTCTCTCCCGCGCTCTCTCTGATCATTACCTAGCCTTAATCAGGTCACGAAGCCCCGCCTTCCCGAAGCCAAGCTAGTTGAATCAATTGGTAAATTCAGCTCGGAACACCAGAGACCGCTAGTGTCATCGTCCCTACCCTACTGTGATCCTCGGGATGGTTAGCTTTTTTCTCGCCTGATGTAGACAGAGCGGTTTTTTGTGGTGCACGGAGGTGTTATATAGATAGTATAACCTAATTCAATCTTTTACAAGGGGCAAATGTGTACGATTCTCCAAAAGTTGTTTTCTTTCTAGTTGACGTACTGAGCTAACGCGAATGATTCCGGTGAAGTTAAAGATTGAAAAAAATCCGGCTGGTTGATCGATACAAGGGAAAAGGGGCATACGCGGTAAGATAAACTGCGGAAATTTAAACAGAAGCTTACTCGAACGTTATGCGACTACCTATTCAACACCAAATATACAAAATCAAACAATAAAACTCATACAAATATCTCAGCCTTAAACATTTATTTGAGACAAAATAAATGAACCACAAAAGATAGCTCATATGAGAAGGCACAGGCAATATTCGGCAATCAGTTTGAAGGCAGTGTCCGGGCAAAAAGTCGATTTTGAGATTTTGTGCTTACCCGGTCCTATTCACTATGCTGAATCCGAAAATCCACACTGGAGAGCGCGAAAACGGCGGGAAAAAACTCTAACATAGGAGGGAAATCAGAAGTGGGCGGGGTCTTCCCCACTGCGGATTCACGCTACAATCTCCCTTAGCGATCTTCTCGGTCTCGATTTCAAGTCATGCATTTGCACCTGGTCTTTGGAGATCTCAGGGCGCTAGCGGAATTGAGAAAGTCGCTTCAGAAGCCGGGACCGCGAAATTCACAGAGGGGAAGACCCCTCCCACTTCTGATTTCCCTCCTGCGTTAGAGCCCTTTTCAGCCGTTTCCGCACTTAATGTGGATTTTCGAAGTCAGCCTGCCGAATAGGCCCGGGTAAGCACAAAATCTCAAAATCGACTTTTTGCCCGGACGCTGCCTTTAAAGCCCAGATTCAAACAACGCTGTTGCTAGCGACAAAGCATTATTTTGAAATTGTTACCAGCTTGCCGTCAACCGTGACTGACATATTACTGGATATGCAAAAAGGCCTTAGATGGGAACCTGTTTGATTGAATAGATGATCTCTTTCGACGATATTAGGTATCACTGAAATGCAAAAAAACCTGAATGTTGATCGTAACACCAGTATGCCGGTAGCTCGAGAATTTTGCAAAGAAAAAGCTTATATTTCTTTTCGGATTAATGCTTCGAAACTAGAGAGAGCAGATTTGAACTCAGCGTTCCAAGCCGATTCCGAATTTAGTGACTTTCAAAGAGGTTGATCAAGTGAGGTGCCTTCTCTTGTTACAAAACTTGTTACAAACCCAGTATGTCTTACAAATAAACAAAAGACACAAAGCATACGTACATTGTTCTAGACATTTGGTGTTTGTCGCAGAACTACCTTTCCATGGAGCTAATCTATTCATCTACTTTGTCTACGTTCCCGTCGTAGTTTTCTTTGCAGAATGTGTGTTCTTACTTACTCTCGACGAGAGTAAGAATTTAATTCTTTAATCAGTTGTTCGACTGAAATTCCTATCGATAGCTAGCAATCGTTAATATTAATAAAAAGGGCTTACTTAAAGCTTTCAGGCGCTCGTCCCTTTGGTCCATTCTCTTGCGTCGCGGGTCTACCTCACACCACTAAAAAAAGGATGCATAAGTAAGTCATTAGATCGCAGATCACTATGTCGCACGTTATTTGTACATATTCTTTCTTTAGGATTCCGCAAAAAGATTTTTCCAGTTTGTGCATCTTACCACTACAATATTGAGCAAAGGGCGTGCATTGGGTTGCAAAACACAGCTTTGCTTACTCTTTAGTAGCTGTACTCTGAGGTGATCTTGCGGAAGAGCTTACGAAACTTGATAGAGTGTTACTATCATAATTTTTTGAATTTTTTATCTATCAGAAAAGAACAGAAACAACAAACAGTCGGAATCTTGCTGTATAGGTTTCTCGCTTAACTGTCCCTGATTGTTTCGGAATTTTAGGTATAAAGGCTTTTTACTTTTTTGACCCCATTTGAAAACTTCACGAATGAGTGAAGCTTACACTTTGAAGGTTCTGTAAATTTGAAGATTCTCTCATTTATTTTGATTACTGTATTGTTTTTGCGGAAAAGCTTGATTTGATGATACCGAGGAGGAGAACAATTTTCTTATTGTTAGAGTTGAAACATCATAAATGAGCTCTTTGCGATAATGTCAAATGACAATATCAGCAAGCTATGTGTGATCTTCCAGTTCATTTTTGGACACTATACATCAACTACAAAAGCCTTGAAAATGTCAACATATGAGCGGTGAGCTGACTTTCTTCAAGATTACAGGAGAGACTACTCGAAAACAACTGAAAAGGTACTTGGGTTTTTCTGTGGAAACAAATAAGTGGATTATAGATCCTCGGTCGGTATAGTCAATGACACGCTCTCTCCCCAAAAAAGCTTATAACTTCATCTACACATGCTTCGGAGGCAATGCGCGCTCAAAATTGCTGAGTTGCTGCTTCCAAAATTCACAAAAAAATGTTTAATTTGAGCAAATTTAAAGCAAAAATAGCAATTTTTATATAAGAGCTGCTAAGAAAAAGAAGGAACAACGCTTCATCAAACTTAAGCTTGCTTTCTGGTTATCAATTCTGAAGTTCACTCACTAAATCAACAAATAAAGTCTTATATCAAGATGATGCGCTCTTCTCTGCCAAAAAAAGGTCAATGTGCAATAGGAGCTAAAAATACAGTTGAGAAAGAGCCATCCGGGGAGCTTAATTATGTTGTGAACCTTTGCCTCATGTCCCTTGTGGCTAGTGACACCTCTTTATGCTCCTCGGTTTCGCGTCTTTTCTGGCAACAGACTCTTGATTATTGGCGTTTCGCTGATTCGAAAACTTCGCAAAACCAAAATTTCTATATATCTTATCAAATAATGAAGGGTACCTCGGTATGTACGGTACCGATACTCTGGTTGTTTTCAAAACTAGCTTCCCGTTTACAGCTATTGCCCATCGAAAGCTCCATAAGAGTGAAATAGCAACGTCACTCAAGTTCAAAATTTAACTTCTTATTCGATCCCATTTTCTGATAGCGAGAAATTTCCTTTGAAACTTCGAAGTCGCAAACAAGTCAGTTGCAAACAAGAGCTTGTACGCACAATTGTACAGATCACAAGTGAGAAGAAAAGGCAAAAAACTGGCGTCGTTGTTAAGATGATTTGGCAATCCTATCTTTGATTTCAAAGCAACTCGGTGATGAATTTGTGCTCACCTCGATCATGTTTTTATCCGGCTTTACCATTTCAGCATACATTTGGAAGACTTCTAATTCGCAGTAATCCCGTTTTCCGCATTCCGGAATATAGTGTGTCACAGTATGGATCACGTCCTCCTCACTGCTTGTGCGGTACAACAACTGCAACTTTCATTTATGAAAAGAAAGGAAGCAAGATTCAAAAGAACATACCTTGAAGTAAGGCTTATTATCAGTTTTGTTAGTGTATAATTCAACGAATGCAGCTGCTGTATATTCCGGATATCCTCCTTTGTAAACGACTTTCGACTGAATTCCCAAAGCGGCCAGCAACGCGAAAACGGTAGTGTCGTGCTGTAATATTTTCTGCTGAAATGTTTGGAGTGACTTTCGAGACTTCGCTTACAGCTGAATAAGCATAGTATTTAAGTCCACTTATCCAGCGACACTCAGACTCATTGCTTCTATTCAAGCATTTATGTTTCAAATGCATATGCATGTTCATGTCATTCGCCAATGATCCTCCGCGTAGCTTCTTAATTTCCCGTCCCATATCTAGACCGTTCATCTTTATCTTACGACCTGAAATCAAAAGACCGCAGGTTGCACAAGGAAAGAAAGAATCTATTGTTGAAATTTACGGGAAGACTTTGCGAATAAAAGACATAGCAGTCATTTTGCTATTATTTCTCCTCTCTCTAAACTCTCTATCACAGTATCTTGAATGAGTGACTCGTTAGCTATGATTAGTAGGATGTGGCATTTAAACTGGTGTAAGAGACGGGGAAGTAAGAAGTTTGAACATAGGCTGTGTGAACAGAAAAGTGGCAAAATTTTTGCAAACTGGGGTATGACTCCCTAGTTTGGAAAATGTAGCATACTGTAGCGATTCTGCATTTTTTTGGAATTGTCGAAGATCTGTTTGCCAAGACGGGAAGCCTCGACGGGAGAAGGATAAGATGAATAAGTTTTTTGGGTACTTTTCCGTTATCCGGACCCATTTTTTAAAGAAAGATATTGCTTCTATCCTTGTGCCATATTTTGTCCCAGCTTCACAGGAAGGAGTGTCAACCTTCTGCCACGTGTCAAAAAAATTTGACATGTCATCTACATGTTTAACAGGTTTCACCAAGAGTTCTTGTTACCCTACCTGGCGATGTAAGTTTGATCTGTTTTTTAGTTAATTTTGACCTCATTTCGATTAAACAGTTTTAAAGTGAACATTGTCATAATAATAATGACATACTATCATCGATGAACAGATTAGACTTGCTCAAGATAGAGAAGTGCGCTGGGATTCCGTCATTCAAAAAGCGAAATAAGGACCAGCAAGGTACTTCGAGCTATCATTTATAGTCTTTTCGGCTAAATTCGCAAGGCGAAAAGGATTGAAGAGAAATACATTTTTGAATCACTGCTAAAAGCAAGCAAGAGGTTCTGGAATAAGCTCATGATTTTCATATGTTCTCTGTTCGTAAAACCTGGGCATTGTAGTAATACAGGCTGAATAAATAATACTTATAACAAACCTGTGTGGCAAAATATCACAGAAGATAGTATAAGCTCATGATTGTTTTGCGCTTATGTAAGACAGTTAAGTAGCTTTAAAATGATCGCTACTGCTCTTTCATCTCACCGGAAATAATTTCGAAAAAACATGTCAAAATGGACCAAAACGTGCCAATCTTTTCGTGACACGTGGCAAGGAGGCAGTCCTCGAAGATTCTATGAAAAATTATTCTTAGTCTGAAGAACGTAGATTGTGAGAGCTTTTCGAAGAAATGGGTCCGGATAACGGAAAAGTACCGTTTTTTGTATAGAACCAACGCGCTTTTATGGGAATCATGTACACACAAGGTATCGATGTGCTTGATTGTGATTTCGCAAGAAGACTCATCTTGCACTTCGAGTTGTGGTCAAAATTTATATAACGCCTCTAAAATTGAGTGTCCAACTTTTACACACAACACTTGAAAACTAAATAGTCAGGTAATCTACAATCCAATCGCAAACTGTTGTGCACAGCTGTAGATCGTGAAACAATTTGTAACGGTCTCGGCGAAGTGACCAATACATCTACCAGTGGGAAAAATGCTTATTTCGCTTGTAGAACCTATTCGACTAGGGCAGATAACGAAAAAAGTATATTTGCTTATTGAATTACACACGCGTATGGTTCAGATTTAGTAGGACTTAGTTGAGCTATACGAAAAACGAATATCCATTTTTTCCAGTTCAAAAAAGTAAAGGCTTGAACGCTGAGTTTTTTATCTTGTTTTTCATTGATGCAATAAAGATTTGGCTTACCGAAGACTCCATTGTCATAGTTGATTAACTTTTTATTGATTGCATTAATTTCCTCCATCATTTGTATAGAGTACCAATCACATTCGTTCTTCAGTCTTTCTAGGAAATGCACTTGCTGAAAACAAGAATGAATAAATTTCTGGTCCGCAAATGATATATACAAAACTTGTTGCAGTAGTAAAACTTACCTCGATTAGCCACACATCATAAATTTCCCATACATTCTTATCATCGTACTTTCCTCCAGCTTTCTTACTTACTTTCTTGAACACCTTTTTCACCTAAAATTCCACTCAATGAGCCCCATAAATTACTCCTGGAAGTGAACAGAAAACGGCTTTGTGAACTTTCATGCCATCCTTTTTGTCAATATGCAGCAATCAAGTGAGGAGAAAGGCTGATGCACAATTCTGCTTGGTTCGCCTTTGACCAACTTGAGAGTACTCAGAATTGGAATCATGCCAGTCGAGACCTACTTTTTTGAACCATATGGGCAGCTCATTCATGATCTCTAACTTTTTTACATTTGTCAGCATAGTTGTTCAAATGAAATACGACAATTCTAATTTTTTTTCAATAACTCATTTGTTTCATCACCTCACACAAACAATCTTCACCTAATCTAGGAAAGAGCCTCAGCAGTTATGACTGCCAAATCTCTGTCTACCGCTGCAAGATTTATGCGGTCCCTTAAAGTTAAATAAGTACTGCAATAATTTTCAAGTTACCTCTTGTAATGAAAGGTTTCTGCCCTTTTTTGAGACAGGACTTTTTACCAACCGTTTAGCTAATATGGTTCGCCGTTTTCTTTACTTAAAGTGCTGATCGACTTGACTACTGCCACTAACGATTTGCCACGAACTGTTGTAAGCTTTGAAGACAGCAACAATCGACGGTCATAAAAAGAAAAATCAAAAGTTTATCTTTACTCGTTTTTGAAAATTAATAATTGGTGCAAGTATAGTACTGTTTTAGTTGACACTTCATTGGTTCAAAAAAAGTGTGGGTTTCATGTCAAAAGAGATTCGTGTTGCAGGAGCCCTTCTCGAGCACGAAGCAGACCTTGCAGAATCCGGTACACATCAGAATGCAAGCGCTTCGAAAAATTGTGATAAGCTCGTAATGGGCAAGGATACGCAGTCTACAATGTGAGATAAGGGCGGAATTGGATGTTATGTATGTAGTTGCTCACAATTGGAGCCATGATGTCATCAAAAGAAGATACACTTTGTTCTTGGGAACTCCGCTATAATTGAAAGAAAATAAAATTCGATTTTGTTGTCAAGCCCATTGAGGTTAGAAAAGAAGATAGATGTAAGATGGATGTAAGAAAATAGATTCCTTCCTCATCAACTTGCACATACAGGCTCAGAGAGATCTTCTCTGCATTCTAAGCTTTACATTCTTGTTTCTCGCTGTGGCAGCACTTCAAGAGTCTCATGACTTTGGGAAAGCGTGAAACAGCTTAACCGAAAAGGTGTAAGCGGTAAAAAGTAAAAATCAGTGTTGATCTTTTTCTTAGAAATGTTTTTACACCAAATGGGAAATTCTGGCGGTTATGATCATGCAAACACCTGAAAGGAAACACCTTCGCAATCAAAACTGCAATCTTTTGAGTCAAAATTTCCTGTGAACTCTACAGCAACGAAGTCTGACATCTGCTACACATTGTACTCAGCGCAGTTCAAATAGAGAAGCGTTCTCTTCTAATACGGTTCAAAACGCTTTTGGAGTCGGCTCCAGAAACGTACGGTTTTTACGGCACAAGCAGAGTCTAATTAACGTCTACCAAGCTATGGGATAAATCAAGCTTTTCCAAAGAATATTTTCTTTGACGCTTGGAAAATCCCCATGTTTCCGTTGCGTTTTTCAAACGGGTTCCAACCTTACCCTGAGTGAACACAATTTCGAGCCGCAAAACAGTCACTGTAGTTTTATGATCAGCTAAGCACAGAGTGTGTGCTTAGGTTCTAGCTTCTCACTAGCTTATCAAGTTGACAAGAATTTATAGCAATAACAATATTCTTTCCCTCCCCCCCCCCTCCCCTTCCACAACAGCGAAAAGAGTGGTATAAGAAAAAATAGGTTAGAAGTTTTACATTGCAGACCTTGACACTGCGGCAACTTTCTGTTGACACTCACAAATGATGGACGTCTCCCGTACAACGTTCAAAAAATACTTACCATAGGATCTTTATACAGTGCTTTGAATTCTCTACTTCGTTTTCTCATCATTTCACCCAGCCACTCCTTGCGGTTGCAACGAGCATGAGCAATTCCCACCTAAAACAAAGCCTAGGTTAAAAGTTCTTTGATATTTGAAGAACACAGTTTGAAAAAGTTACAAAGTCGGTGTGGTGATCAACGGTATGCACGGGAATTGGAGTAAGTCGATGAGGCCATCCTTCCGCTTCTGGGAAGTCAACATTTACTCTGCTATCACGATTATGGTAGCTGTACATTCCCATCAAGTTTGACATGGCGGAGACTATAGTTCTATTGTAATCTGTCGAGCGGACATATATCTGAAACATTAAATGTGCATCATTCACCTTACTGGATCGTCTTCGATAGCAAATTATATTGACTTCTTGGAAAGAATTAAGCGAACAGCTTCTTTTGGAAAGAACTTGCACTAATTTTAGACACTTGCGCAGGTAGACCTTGAGCTCTGAGAATTTGCAAGAGAAAGCATGAAGGACCACCCGTTTGCACGTTGACTAGTCATGCTTGATTGCATGCTGCTTATGCTTACCTCTTTCGCATTATACGTTTTGCTGAGAAAACCAGTGTCGACATAGCGTTTTCGCAATTGTTTTCCGAATTCGAAATGCTGCCTCATTCCTATCTGAATATAACAGATTCAAAAAAATTGCTGCAGTGTAAAAAAAACTCATTGGCACCGTCGAGAGCTGTCCCCATCCTCCTCCTCCAAATTTCCAGTCATCTTCTCTGATCGTGTCTGTTTTGTGGGTGTGAGTAGGTGATCTATCTCCGTGCCGCCATACCTGTGCATTTCCAAGAGAACAGAATGATATTGAGTATACTTAAGGCTGAGTCTTACCAGTTGTACAAGTTCGAGTTTCATGTCGCTATGCTGTTCACTTCTAGCTACAACTGACGAAGTGAAGAAAAGCAAAAAAACTGCAGTCATCGTCACAGCGAATTTTCGATCTTGGTTAGCAATTCCTAAAAATGTTAATTAGCCAAGATAAGCACGATAAAGATTGAATGGATTACAAGCTATAGAAAAAACCGACTCTAGTAATGACTGAGTAGTGTCGATTACCGTAACACACGTCAAGTTCAGTTCGTTGCTTCTTCTACTTCCGGCTTACAAAAAAAAAACATTCCGCAGTTGAGAACTCCGCATGAAAAGGAAAAATGCGCACAAGTAAAGTTTTCTCAAGTCACATAAGCTTCAGGATTAGCACTCTCCGACTAGGTTCACGCGGACCTTGGGACAAATTTGAAGTGCGTAAATGCGCGAGCTATCAATGTACGCAAAACAGCAACAAAGCTCGAAAAATTATTTCCATTAACTCTTTTTTTTCAAGTAGTTCACTCTCAGTACGCCTCCAAACACTATTTTGTGTCCAGATCATGCAAAAACCTGAAGGATCAAAACAAACTGCCATTGATCACTTTTTTCCCCACTTATTTTTAACATTGTGAATGGAAAAAGTTAAGAGTTTCTAACTCTTAGTTTTCCTCGCAGGTTTTCTTTCCAAAACTGCGCCAAAACAGTTTACGCCAAATTTAGTTATTAGAAAAAAAAAGATAGGCCAGCCTCACACCTTAACTTTCTTCAGGCAACTGCTGTGCTCAAGCTTAAACATTGAGACGTGCGTTATTTCCTAGCAGCGTGCGGTTCATAGTTCATCAACATTGTTGGTCCATTATACGTGCCCAAATGCCGTACTAAAAGAAGGACTTGGATTCAATGCAGGGACAATGTAGATAAACTTTAAATTGGCAAAATCGCTTTCCTTTTTGTTTATCAGCGTCAATCGCTCATTGTGCAAGGAAAAAAAGCATTTTCAAAACCTTTTTTTACCTTGACTTGTAATAGTTAGCTCTTCCATAGAGAATGCTCATTTCATTATAGTTCGCAAGAAAATCCTTGGCTTAAACCACTTCAAATTATGGCCAGCAGCTCGTGAGTAATTTCAAATTTACGCTTTTTGATTGATTAGAGAATCATTCTATGTTCATTGCAGCTTTGATCCGCCTCGGATTTAAAGCCAAAAAGTACTCTATTTTTCAGGTGTACAAGCCGTACCTTTTTCGAATTTGTAAGCGAGCTGTTCAGCCGCCTTACTGTGTTTTCAAAAAACGATCCTTATGCCTCACGATTCTCCAGGCAGTACGCAGCACGGTATAGAGTCTTTTGGTTGCGAAGTCGTTTAGCGTGTTTGAACTGGCCGATTCTAGAAGCAAATCCCCGCGGTTTATTCACCTGAAATAGAGTAGAAAGATTCATTTGCCTAGAAAATTGAAAAAATCTAACTCCGTCTGAAAATCACTGCAAAATACTAATTTGCACACGTATACACTTTCTATCAGACATCACCGTTGCTCTTTTTTAACCTCGGCTAAAAACAAAGAAAACGAAAATCTTCATGCTTTTTCCAATATGATCTATGCTGTTCCCGCTTAAGCAAACCCTAATGAATGCAACAATCAGAAAAGCAGCACATGGAGTTCGAGTGATGAAGAGCGGTACTGTAGTGTAGAAATAAAATGAAAGCGTAGTGTTGTTGTGAGCGTTTGAATTGACTGAAGTAAGTTAAATACATACCACGAGTACATTCGAAGCTTATGAAAAAGAGACGTATGCTGACCATAAGATGTCCTTTTGAATGGTACATTTTACGATGTAAACCATGATGACGAATTCCTGACAAAATTGAAGCATGCACAAAACGATGCACTCGAAATTTTTCTTTTACATCTATAAAGATCAAAGATTGATTGCATACTCTGGATGCGCCAAAAAAGAGATTGTTTTGAAGCCGTACTACATTCATGAATAGAATCATCTGTTGAATTACGTTTCAAAGGTGGGAGACGAGGAAGGTTAGTACCTTTTTTCCAGGAGAACTTTGTTTCAGCGACATATCAGCACAATGCGTTTGGAGGACATAGAAGCCTAAGCGTGAGTTTGTTTTGGCAAAAAAATCGCCGATAACAGGTTGTCCAAAGTATCTAACTTACAAGGGAATGGTCAGAAGTCGAAGTGGCCAAACCAAACAAGCTGTATATCATTCGATGCAGTATAAAACGCTGACTTCGATTTATCTGCCTTATCTGCTTCCCGCTTCTGTAGACGAAGCTACAAGCGGTTTTATTGTGAAAACATCATTCATAAAAACAGCGAAATTGAGCACATTGTTGCAGTTTTAGCTCGGGTTCTGGCTTCAAAAATTTCAAGTAAGCTAGCTGCATGTTTTGGCCCAGCATTGAGACGAACGAGGCTCTGTACGGCTAAAATGGCTTGTAGCTTCGTCCAGAAAAGCGGTAAGCAGGTAAGGAAGACAGATTTAGAGTCAGCGCTTCATGCTGCATCTAACGCTATGCAGCTTGTCTGGAATGGCCCCTTCGATTTCTGACCATTTCCTTGCTAGGATATTTTATGCAATATTTTCGACTTAATGACGTAAAAAAAGCTCTTATAATCTGTTAATCTGAAAGTGTTTAGAACGAAGCGAGAAACTAAGGCAACATTCCCAATAGGGTTACTGTTGATCACATTTTCGATGTGCATAGATTACTCCAATCATTCAACTACAAGCAATTCAAGTTTAGACAGTAACCACATCTAACTGCTGGTGTACTGCAAGTCGACTTTTTCTTGCTGCTGTAAAATCTAACGGTCTTTCTTTTCATAGCGAACAGATCGAAGCGCCTAGATACTTTTCCAGACTACGGTGGATGCAGCGGCACCAGTGTATGTCATTGACTACTGCGCAAAAGGTGTTCGCCGCATCAATTGCCCGCTGCAGCTACGAATTTCCGCTGATTTGCAGTGTTTTTGCTCATGCTTTGTCAAGATAGTAGTTCAATTTGGACCTGGGTAGCATCGGGGGACGGTCAAAGGGTAAGATCGGCGCGAATTTTTCGCGAAGCGACGCCGCAACGTAATTCAGCCCTTACAACAGCAGCGCTCCTGGAGCGGTCTTACTTATAGCATTAAATCATGTATCTGTCCCCATCCTCACCCCCCCCCCCCCTGTTTTTGCCGCCGGGAATCTCTATTGGCGGAGAGTCTTGGAGGCCCCAAGATTTGAACGCGGCGTCTGCGGAAGAAGGGCCCCCGCGCGCGGCGTACCTCCTGACGTGCAGCCGGTAGCATCTATTTGCAGGTGCTGCTTCGCTTTTGTGCATCGCGATAATAATGGCTTGCAGACGATATATATAGGAAATGTGATATTCATTGTTATGTATTATGGTGAGTATGAACTAAACTACCTAACCAGGTTTCGTTTCTTTCTCTTTTATCGCAGTCAACCTTTATTCATTCTTATACGCATTTGTTTTTGTTACTCATACCTATTTTATTTAACGTAGAGCACGATGGTACGTTTGTAGTATTGCGAACGTATGGTATGATGTAGTTGAAACCGTAGAGCTCATCCAGGAAATAGACCTCTTTTGCATTGTCGATATGGTTCTACCGTATTGGTGACATTCAAATTTTTGAGCATAGAAGTACCCAGAAGTTCAATATGACTTTGTGAAAAGTTGAACTACAGTTTGACCTGAGTGAACGAATCAAAACGTCCACAAACGAATTGCTATCATGACGTATATGCTTTGCCAAAATACATCATATGTCCAAGTTCATGCACAGCATGGCCGTGTACTTCAAGTTTTTGCCTTTAGAGATAGCAGGACTATCACGACGTGCAAAATATGACACTACTATGAAAAAAAGTAGTTAAGTCAGAAACTAACGGCTACCTTGATAGAGCATCATCCGAAAGAGTTTAAAGTAGAGGCAGGGACTTGGCAATCCTCGACCCAATCATTTTTTGCTTGCCTGGGAGAGTCCACCTCAGACTGTGCGAGAAAGTGAGCCAGCATTTCTCGAAGCTCTTCAATTTGAGTCTGGACGGGCGAAAAGATTTCGCCAATGAGAGGCGCAGATTCGTTGCGGAAAGCCCGAGGTTACAACTTGTACATGTCGTATCCAACAGTAAAAGGGAAATTGTGATTGGTCTAAGCATGTGTGAGAGTGCCATGCGCGCAGGTCTTGGGGGCGTTTTTCTTGGCGTGGGAAAGCATTCTATGCGTTCAGACTGTTCCGTTTTCATAGAAAGGATTTAAGCAATCTTCAAAGGCAGTGGCCTGGGATGAGACTGCGAGCTTTCCACAATCACATGGCCTTCTAGATGCGTTGTGTTCAGTGCTGTGCTTAAAAAGTCAAAAAAGTGCTTTTTAAGGCGTTTCCCTACCGTGGAGATAGTTGGAGGGTGTGGGCGAACAATTCCCGCCATTGACAGCAACTAGCGCAAGAGACTGTAACTCCACCCATTTTGGCGGTACTTGGCTGATTGGCTCAGGCAGCCAACTGCGATGTTGGCGGGAATCCCTCACTCATCTTGTCCAACGTCTCCAGGTCAAAAAACGCCGGAAAAGCACTTCTTTAATATTTCAGTCCCCTGGATTCAGCGTATCTAAAAGTATGGAAAACTCTCAGTTGCAATTTTCCCGAGCCACTGCCTTTAATATCAAACCAGCAAGATACTCATTCCTGCCGAGCCACTGCCTTTGAATCGCGGCGATATCGCCCTGGACACAACGCTCGTAGGGTGTTGAAAACTTTGGGTCACTAACGCTACTAACTATACGCAGCTAACATGAAGGTCGTTCCGCTCGTTTAAGCCGGATATTTCATCGTATTTAGCAATTTCTTGAATCTTTTTTCAGCAAATTACACTCTGTATTATTGAACACAACATCAAAATCAGCGGAGCACTGAGAAGGACGTCTGCCTATGGTCCCTTGCAGCCGCTGCAAATTCATAAACATGGAACGACGAGGGCAATTAGATTTCAATTCAATTCACACAGTCTCTATCTGTTTAATTTCTGCTTGCGCTGCAGAAGCATTGATTACTCCACGCCTCATTTGGGTCGCATGGGGAAAGCA